ATATATGCACAAAATTTGGAGATATATATAAAAAATAGAATGCAGAAAACACGAAAGATAAATGCAGAAATGCAAAAAGAAAGCACATGAAACATAGGAAAAACCCAACAAAGTAATAAATTTTTTAAAAGAAGTTATTAACAGATACTAGCTCTGAGGAGATTCCTGAATAGGAAGGGAATAGAGCTCATGTTTCTTTTGAGGTTTAACATTGTTAGAAACACTTGGGTGGATGAGAATGGTCCTCACCCAGGCTTATGGGAATAAAAGAACCTCAGTGATTCTAGCAAAGAAAAGGGAATTCCAAGCTAGGGGCCAAATATTTACATCAGGTTCAGATCATCCTAGTGCCATATCAGGGGAGCTCTGTTGGCTGAGTGGTAAAGTGTTGCACTGTCAATCCAAAGGCAAGCAGTTCAAATCCACCATCTGGTCTCAGGAAGATAGAAGAGCAATTGCCTCATGTGTAATTTTTAGCCTCTGAAAACCTACTGGGGGGTCAGCTATGAGTTGGTTTCAACTTGATGGCATAGAACAACAGAATCATAGATAATTGAGTCTAAGACATCTTTCTGATGTAACCAACGAAGAGTGGTTGATATAATCCTGAGTACTTTTCTGTTTTATTCAGGGAGATTGGAAAGAAGAAGTCGTTACTGCGTAACACTGAGTTGGAACTGACCCATCGCGACCTACTGTTCCTGTGGAACAGCTGGTGGATTTGAACAACATATCTTTGCATTGACAGCACAATTCCTTGCCACTAAGCCTCTAGTTTTGGCCAAGAAATTTGGAGGACAGCTGCCTGACTGACTGGAAGAGATCCAGTTTATTTCCATTCTGAGAAAAGGTGATCTAATAGAATGTGAATTTTTTTTAACAATATCACTAATATTATATGTAGGCAAATACTGCTGAAGATTATACAAAATTGGTTATAAGAGTAGTTCATAGACAGATGATGAAGCTTCACCTCACATACTTAGAGCATGTTGCTAGGAAAGGTTATTCTTTGGAGAGGGACATCATGGGAGGGACAGTGAAGAAGAGAAAGAGCTTCAACCAAGTGGATTGACATAATGACTGCAGCAATGGGCTTGGCAGTGCGGGGCATTGCGAAGTTGGAATAGGACAGTGTTCAGATCAGTTGTTCATAGGATTGATACGAGTTGTACTTAGAACCTAACAACAAGAAGAAGAAGCCACCAGAACTACCCAGGAAATAATAAGAGAGCTAGTTCATTCTCCCAACTTTGTATTTTCTTGCAGTTAAAGTGAATGTCAGTGTGGAATATCTGTGATGCTTTGACCCAAAGTTTTCATTTTCCTACACGCTGACTATGCCAAGACCCAGATCCCTTGATGAAGGGCATCTCAGGAGTCTGTTCAGTGTCACTTACCTATCCCAAGCATAGGGACTTTGTGCTTTCCTGGAGAAGTAAAACTTTTACTCCATATGGTCGATTCAAATTTGTGAATTAGTCGAGTAGTCTCTCGTGCAATCTCCTTTTTACTTCTGTTGTTCTGAATGGTTTTCTTTAAAAGAAAGAAAGGTGATTAGGTAGGAACTCATTCAACTTTAAGAAAGTGGAACTATGGGTTAATTGTGGTTGAGTGCATCTGGAAGGTGTTGCTATGGACCACAGTAATCTGTGTTGTGTATGGGGTTACCTACCATGTATCAAAGGTTGGTTAAATTGCTAACAGTATGTTTTGTGCTTATCAATATGTGGTTTCTCATTTATCACTTACAGCTGGTAAAGGATATACCATTAGCTATATTTTATGAGACAATGAAGGTTTAGAAAACAAGATATCTCGCATTTATAAGGAGTGATTTATGGCAAAAGATAGACGGAGATGAGAAGTGGAGTTCTAAATCTTTGGTACAGTGTTTTGAATTACAGATGAAACATTTTGCTCCTATTCCAAAATTTCTTAGTCTTTACATTATTGATATTTGAAATTGGATAAATTCTTATTTGAGATGAGGGCTTTCCTGGCTGTTGTAATATATTGAGTAATATCCCTGGTCTCTTTCTCCCCCTGTTGGATAGTAGTTGTGTGTGTGTATGTGTGTGTGTGTGTGTGTTCTCTCTCTGTCTCTCTCACACACACACACACACACGGAGGTCACAATCAAACATGTCATGTCTCCAGACAGTGATGAATGACCTCTAAAGCAAGCGACCAAAAAAAAAAAAATTCACCCCTTAATGAGAACGTCTCTATTTTAAAATCATATGATGGAATGATGACCTGGTAATACTGTTTTCAAGCTTGCTTTCCACTTCAACTCACCCAAAAGTCTCCTGATGACTGGATATTCTTACTGTTGCCCCCTAAGAAATAAAAATGTCCATGAGAATGAAATATGGCCAAGAACATGCCACTGCTCACAACCCTCTTTTTCATTTCTCAAGAGTAGTGGAGTTTTCCCTTGATGCTTCCACCACCACCACCGCTACCACTTGTCATTAAGCTGACTGTAACTCATGGTGACCCTCAGTGTGGCAGAGTGGAATGACACCACATAGGATTTCTGGTGGCTAATTCCCCCCAGTGGCTGTTTTTTGGCAAGTAGATGACTAGATTTTTCCCCCCAATGTGTTTCTTGGTGGACTCAAACCTTCAAGCTTTTTGTGAACAGCCAAATATTTAACTGTTTATACTCCCAGGGACTCCAGTGCATCTACAACTCATTGTAATTCTTTACTAAAAATAAAAAAAAAAGAAAGCAAGCCATTGTTCTAATTATTCTCATTTTAAAATAAAGCATGGGTACCTGTGTGGCACAGTTTGTGTTTGACTATGAATATTGGAAGTTCAAACCCCTGTGATGACACCACAAAGATGACCTGGTGCCTTGCTTTCACAAAGATTATAACCCAGAAAACACTATGGACCAGTTCTATTCTAATTCCTGGGGCCACCATGAGTCACAGTGAATTTGAAGGCAATAGGTTACAGAAGCAGCAGGTGGAACTCAAGCCATTAGCCAAAAGTCAGATGGTAAGTGATAGAGCTGGAACATGAAACCAAGTGTCTGTAACACAAAACATCAAGTTATACTGTTGAGTAAATAGGCAAATACATTGTGGAGATCAAGAGCCAGCTTTTTTAATGTTAGAAAAAGAAGTTACAAGTAAGGAAGGCTAGAATGAACCTTCAGGAGTCTCTTGATGGTACAAATTCTTAATATGTGTCTTCTAACTGAAAGGTTAATGCTTCAGCCCTACTCAGATGTGCTTCAGAAGAAAGATCTAGCAACCATACAGATTTGTGGGAGTAAGTTCTACTCTGCACACATGGGGTTGCTATGAGTTGAGATGCGTCTGATACAGGCCATGGTCTTTGCAATCACTTGTTATGCATCAGAGAGTTGGACAATGACTAGGGAGGACAGAAGGATAATTGATGCCTTTGAGCTGTGGTGTTGGAGGAGAGTATTGAGGGTACCATGTATTGCTAG